GAAATATATACAATATTAAAGAATTTCATGTTCCTATGTAACTGATACACTCTATCTCAGTCAGGGAAAATGAAATTTTGGGTCTTGTTGGATGGATCTGTGCAACTAGTTCATGCAGTTTCAAAGGAAACTGAATCCTTGACTATAGTCTTTACCCTATAGTGAAAGATACCTAGCTTTGGCAATTCTAGTGCACTTTAGAATAACTGATTCTTCTAACCTATATAGTGGAATGCAATTCTTGATGTATTTATATATATATTTTTTTATTTTACTTGATGTGATCATTGGATTGCAATCTATATGCGTTTGCAGGGCATTATAGTTGTGCTCTAATAGGATGGGGAGTGTTACTGAAGGGAAGTTGAGGTTTTGTATCGACAGAGGGGGCACATTTACTGATGTTTATGCAGAAATCCCGGGTCAGCCTGATGGGCGAGTTTTGAAGCTTCTGTCAGTTGACCCTTCAAACTATGATGATGCACCGGTTGAAGGGATACGGAGGATCCTTGAAGAATTCACAGGTGAGAAAATTCCACGCAACTTGAAAATTCCTACTGAGAAGATTGAGTGGATAAGGATGGGTACAACTGTGGCAACAAATGCACTTCTAGAGAGAAAGGGAGAAAGGATTGCTGTGTGTGTGACTCAAGGCTTTCGCGATTTGCTCCAGATCGGTAACCAGGCTCGCCCCAGCATATTTGATCTTACTGTGTCAAAGCCATCAAATCTCTATGAAGAAGTTGTAGACGTGGAAGAGAGAGTTCAGCTTGTTCAGGATAAGGAAGAAGAAGAAAATCAGGGTGCTTCTTCATCACTGGTTAAAGGAATTTCAGGTGAGCTTATCAGGATTGTGAAGCCTCTTAATGAAGAAGCGCTGAAGCCTGCACTGAAAATTTTATTGGAGAAAGGAATTAGTTGTTTGGCTGTTGTTTTGATGCACTCATACACTTATCCACAGCATGAACAACAGGTTGAGAAGTTAGCTTTGAGTTTGGGGTTCAGACATGTTTCTATATCATCTGCTTTGACTCCCATGGTCCGTGCTGTTCCTCGTGGTCTAACAGCTAGTGTAGATGCTTATCTGACCCCAGTTATTAAAGAATACCTGTCAGGATTCATCTCCAAATTTGATGAGGGGCTAGGAAAATTGAATGTTTTGTTTATGCAATCAGATGGAGGACTTGCGCCAGAGAGTACCTTCTCAGGGCACAAAGCAATTTTGTCTGGCCCTGCTGGTGGGGTCGTTGGTTACTCACAAACTCTTTTTGGGCTTGAAACAGATAAGCCATTAATTGGCTTTGATATGGGAGGTACATCTACAGATGTGAGTCGATATGCTGGAAGTTATGAGCAAGTGCTGGAAACCCAGATTGCTGGTGCCATAATTCAAGCACCTCAGCTTGACATAAACACTGTGGCTGCTGGCGGTGGTTCGAAGTTGAAGTTCCAATTTGGTGCTTTCCAAGTTGGACCAGAATCAGTTGGAGCACACCCAGGTCCTGTATGTTATCGGAAAGGTGGAGAGTTGGCAATTACAGATGCCAACCTTATTCTGGGATATATTATTCCTGATTATTTCCCATTCATATTTGGCCCAAATGAAAACCAGCCTCTGGATGTCAAGTCAACAAGAGAAGAATTTGAGAAGCTTGCCAGGCAAATAAATGCATACCGAAAGAACCAAGATCCATCTACAAAAGACATGATGGTGGAAGAAATTGCACTTGGTTTTGTGGATGTTGCTAATGAGACAATGTGTCGTCCAATAAGGCAGTTGACTGAAATGAAGGGCCATGAAACAAAGAACCATGCACTTGCTTGCTTTGGAGGCGCTGGACCTCAGCATGCTTGTGCTATAGCTAGGTCATTAGGTATGAAAGAAGTTCTCATTCACAAATTTTGTGGGATCTTAAGTGCATATGGCATGGGATTGGCAAATGTTGTAGAAGAGGCACAGGAGCCTTATTCTGCAGTCTATGGAGCGGAATCTACAATTGAGGTCTCACAACGAGAAGCTGTATTACTAAGACTGGTAAAGCAGAAGTTGCAAAATCAAGGATTTAAAGAGGAAAATATTTCAACGGAGACATATTTAAACTTGAGATATGAAGGTACAGACACTGCCATCATGGTCAAAGGACAAATAGCCGAGGATGGAAAATCATGTGACTATGTTACTGAGTTTCTGAGACTGTTTCAGCAGGAGTATGGCTTCAAACTCCAGAACAGAAAAATTGTGATATGTGATGTTAGAGTTCGTGGTATAGGAGTTACCAATATATTGAGGCCGCAGGCCTTAGAACCTGCCTCTGGAAGTCCTATAGTTGAAGGCTACTATAAGGTTTACTTTGGGAATGGTTGGCAGGAAACACCTCTTTATAAACTTGAAAAGTTGGGGTATGGTCGTATGATGTCTGGCCCAACAATTATCATGAATGGTAATAGCACTGTGATAGTTGAACCCAACTGTAGAGCCATTATAACTAAATATGGAAACATCAAGATTGAAATTGATTCCCCTTTGAGCAGTGTTAAAATATCTGATAAAGTTGCAGATGTTGTACAGCTCTCCATCTTCAATCACAGATTTATGGGTATAGCTGAGCAGATGGGAAGGACTCTCCAAAGAACTTCCATTTCAACAAATATCAAAGAACGGCTTGATTTTTCTTGTGCTCTATTTGATCCTAGTGGCGGCCTAGTTGCTAATGCACCTCATGTTCCTGTCCATCTAGGAGCAATGTCTAGTACAGTTCGGTGGCAGCTCAATTACTGGGGTGACAATTTAAATGAAGGAGATGTTTTGGTTACTAATCATCCTTCAGCTGGAGGTAGCCATCTTCCTGATATAACTGTTATTACACCTGTTTTCTTCAATGGGAAGTTAGTTTTTTTTGTTGCAAGCAGAGGGCATCATGCAGAGATTGGGAGTATTACTCCTGGAAGCATGCCTCCTTTTTCAAAGTCCATATTGGAGGAAGGAGCTGTCATTAAGGCATTTAAGCTTGTTGAAAAGGGTGTCTTCCAAGAAGAGGGGATCATTAAACTTCTCCAGTTGCCAGGCTCTGATGATCGGGGAAATAAAATCCCAGGAACCCGTAGGATTCAAGATAACTTATCTGATCTGCGAGCACAAGTAGCAGCAAATCAAAGAGGAATTTCTCTAGTCCTAGAGCTTATTGAGCAGTATGGTCTGGAAACCGTTCAGGCTTACATGAATTATGTACAGATGAATGCAGAAGAAGCAGTAAGAGAGATGCTGAAGTCAGTTGGCCGAAGAATTTTATCGGAGTCAAATGAAAACTCTGTGACTATAGAAGAAGAGGACTACATGGACGATGGATCAGTTATTCATTTGAAACTGAGCATTGATTCTAATAAAGGAGAAGCAGTTTTTGATTTTGGTGGGACGAGTGCAGAAGTTTATGGTAATTGGAATGCGCCAGAAGCTGTAACAGCTGCAGCAGTCATATACTGTGTTCGCTGTTTAGTGGATGTTGATATTCCTCTCAATCAAGGTTGTTTGGCTCCAGTGAAGATTCTTATTCCAGAAGGCTCATTTCTTTCTCCTAGTGATAGAGCTGCTGTCGTAGGAGGTAATGTCCTTACATCTCAGAGGATAACTGATGTTGTATTTACTGCATTTCAGGCCTGTGCTTGTTCACAGGGTTGTATGAATAATCTTACATTTGGAGATGATACTTTTGGTTACTATGAAACCATTGGTGGTGGGAGTGGGGCTGGTCCTACATGGGATGGGACAAGTGGGGTACAGTGTCACATGACAAATACAAGAATGACTGATCCGGAGATATTTGAGCAAAGATATCCAGTGATTCTGCACAAGTTTGGACTTAGAGAAAACAGTGGGGGAGATGGAATTCACAGAGGAGGTGATGGGCTTCTCAGAGAAATAGAGTTTAGGCGCCCAGTTATTGTTAGCATTCTTTCTGAGAGACGTGTCCATGCACCAAGAGGGCTGAAGGGAGGGAAAGATGGTGCTCGTGGTGCTAACTACCTTATAAAGAAAGATCAAAGAAAGATTTATCTCGGTGGTAAGAATTCAGTTGAGGTGCTTCCTGGGGAAATTCTTCAGATTTTGACTCCTGGTGGTGGCGGATGGGGTTCTCCATTGTAAAGTTTGTTTCTTTAGGGTGAGAAAAGTCAAGGAAACAGCTTCATGTTTGATGCTCTGATGATGTGGCGTGAACACTTTGTTGTTTATGGACTGATGTGCAATACACATTTTGATGCAAATCAATAAAATTTAAATAATTATAATATTTGTTCAATTATTTTCAAAACTCACTCAATTTGAGCGCACACATTTTCTATCACAGTTCTTTTAACATAAATTTTATTTTTTTATAATTTTGAGACGTTTCTTGGCAAGCAAAAAAATTTGTGGAATCTTGATGACAGATAGAATCCTCACTGAGTGGAATAATGTTTGGTCGTTAGATTATGATATGACCATGTTGAAACTCAAGTTTGGATGTCTTTGCCAATATCAGATAAATCTTACTTTATGAGAATACAAAAGCAACTCCACTTGGAACTTGGAAGTACCTTAAACACAAAACGAAGTTGGATATTTCGCTGAGCATGATAAGGGCTGTAAAAATTGTCCTTCAAAGTAATATTTCTTTAAAAGCAACATGGTAAAAATATTATATTATTATTCCTATTCTTAGATCTCTTGGTTGTATCTTGATCGGTGAAAACTTTTGAAGGTTCCCATGATCTCTCATATTCACAGTTGCAGGTGCAGGTAATAGGTACTAATGTACAAAACGATCTATACCCCTGACTACCAAGCTATCTTCATATATCAACTGTTAAATTACACCCTTTACCCTAATGTGGGCATATCTCAACTCTTAAGTTACTCATTGTGCATTAATTCATGGAAATAACTAGTGAACAGCAGCACAAAAAAGAATAGCGAAGAACTCAAGGAAAAAAACAAGCCCTTTATTCGTATCACAATCATATCGTTATTATGGTTAGAATTGTGTAAAAGAAATACAAATAGGATACATCAATGGCACACTCAGTTCTCCCTAGGCACAAATTCACAAACATCAAACCAGAAGAAAACTAACAATAACCAAACATGTAATGCTATATAGAGCATATCACAGCAACACCAAGCAGGCTAGCACTAAAATGCTATGTCTGTCTAATTCAACCCCCACCATTGGTGTACTGCAACTCCCTCATCCCTCAGCTTTCCATACAAAGCCACGCACTCCCAATATGCTCTGCCACTCTTCTTTCTCTTCCCGGCCTGCCACCATTCATTGTTGCACTCGAGGAAGAGTTCATCCACTAAGCATATTGTCCTTTTCTTCATCATCTCCTCCACCACATCTGCTTCTGCCTTCATTACCACATACTCTTCCTCTTTCACATGCTTTGATACCCAATCAGAAACATCTGTATGGAACACAACCGGGTCTTCTGGTGCATCCAGGAGACTCTGAATCTCGAATTTTGCACTCTTCTTTGGGTAGTTCCTCTCAAACCATTCAATTGCTCCCTTGTTTTCCTCAGGCAAGCCCACACCAATGAAGACTCTTCGCTTGTAACCTTCAAGAGAATCACCCAACACCTCAGGCAGGTACTTGATCTTCAAGTTCTTGTTTGATTTGGCAAAAGCCTGCTGTTTTGGAGGCTCAAGGAGCACATCTTCAAGACCCTTTAAAGCAGTTGTTTTGGCCTCAGTTGCAAATTGGCAAAGCTTTCTCTTTGGAGAAGAATCCACCAAGTTATTGGCCAGGCCAATTTTCCTCATTGCAACAATGATAGAGTCATATCTCCTAAGATACACAACTCTATAATTAGACTGTTTTCTTAAACCAACATTGGATGGGTTACTGCTCAATGGGAAAGCCAGAATGCCATTAATTCTCAAAATGCGATCAGCAAACATAGCATCTTCAAATCTAGGGGCAAACACAAAATCATATGACTCATCTGGGAAAGAGCTCCGTCTCTCTAAATCAGAATCCATAGCCACATAAACTTCACTGTTCAAGTTCAACATAGCAACACCCTCAAACCCATGTGGAGGGCTAACAATGAGAGCCTTATCCTCCTTTTTGAGAAGGCCTTCCTCACCCAAATCATGGAGAATCGAATTCAACACCTCAGCATTGATGTTCCCAGACGCAGTAGCATCAAATCCAGAATCAACTGTACCCAAACTTGGTGAGAATCCCTTCAGAATAGACCCAAGAAAAGGCAACGTTGCAAGAGCCATAGCCAAAAACACAGACCGTGAAACAATGCGAAGAAACCGTGCATCAGGAATCTTGATAACAAAAACAGTATCAGAATTCAAACTAATCCCTCCACCATGCAAATGATGCTTATTCATCTTGCTCCTATACCCACGACCCAATTCCATTTCCTACCTTTGCAGCAAAAACGGAGAAGACCCAGATGCAGAAAACTGAAGATGATTGCGAGAACGAAGTAACAAAAAGCCAGCGAATCGAAAAGGTGGGAACTTTAGCGAGCGCAGAACCTTGCAGCGGTATGGTTTCCACCCATAAGAGCCACACGGTTACTTTGCTTTCTACAATAAAGGAGCATCAACTGTCTCATCCTCTCTGCCTCCATTGTGCTCTTTTGTTTTCTATCTATCAAACGGTGGCGTTTCAGAGCTTCACCCAGTTGTTGTTGCCATATAATGTGAAACTCTGACACCACCACCACCACAGGTAGAAGAAATTGCAGAGGATGAGAAATTGATGCGAGAAAAACCAAAATTCGTAGCTTTGTTCTATGGATGAATGAATGGGAATTTATTCAGGGAGAGAGAAACGGGTTGTGCATTGTGGGAATTGTGCTTTATTTAGGACTTTGAATTTCGAAGCCCCGTGAGAGCAGTGTTGTTCTGTTACAATATCCACTCTGTTAGTTTTGGTTAAGTTTAGGATTCCTTGGTTTGGATAATTGGATTTGTTAATTGTTGAGGAATTGAATGGTTGGCTGAAATTTCCGTTCTTTTACCCACAAAATATAATTAGATTTGGACGTTGAATTGTGTTTTCTTTTTCTTTTTTAATTTATTTGAAGGGCTCGCAACAGTTTTTGCTAAGCTCAATATGACGTCGTTTTGGAATATGACGTTATTTTGGAGTGGAAATCATTGTGCTTTTGTAATTTTAATTTATTTCAGAGTTATAATAGTCTTAATATTTATAATTTTTTAAGATTTTAATATTAAAACGACGTCATTTTAGAAATAAATACAGATAATTTATATTCAGTAACTAAAGAAACATTTTTCCTTTATTTGAATTGTGTTTTCAATTGTTCATTTCATTAATTAAATTTTTTGGATTAGTCTCTGCAGATTAGTGGAACTGGACAGTATCATAATTCAACCTTAGGTTGGCATGAGACAGTATCTAGGGGTGGTAATTTGGGTTGACCCGCCCCGATCCGCCCCGCCCCGCCACCAACCCGCCAAAAATGGGCGAGGCGGGTTGACCCGCTAAAAAATATGGGTTGTAAAAATGAACCCACCCCGTTTTATGGTGGGTTGGCGGGTCAACCCCCCAACCCGCCAATTAAAAAAATTTAATTAAAATTCAAAAATAAATTATATTTTATGAATTTTTTTAATATTATTTTATTTTATTTCACACTTCTCTATATTTTTGTTAGTCTCAATCTTAAATGTATACTAATATTTGTCAAATATTTGTTATTCTTTATTTTTTCTAGAAAGTACTAAGATAAAAAAAAAATTGAATATCACAAAAATTTAAGTACTAATGAAATACTACCTAATTGTAAAAAAATAAAAAATAAAATAAAAATTTAAAACCCGGCGGGTTGAACCCGTTTTGACCCGCTTCTAGGCGGGGCGGGTTGAGGTGGGTTGGTGGGTTGAAAATCTCAACCCAACCCGCCCTGTTTTGGCGGGTTGGCGGGATGACCCGCCGGGCTCAACCCATATTGCCACCTCTAACAGTATCCATTATTCTTCAATTTAAATTATTAAATAAAAAAGGGGTTTCGTATGTGTTTTAACACCAATACGACTTGTGTTTCATTACTTTATACAAGATTATAAAGGGGATTGCTCCTTTTGATTATTATGGTCATGTTTTTGTATTATTATAATTTGTTTTTGTTTTTATTACAGAAATGAGTTATATTTATAAATTTTTTATTTACAACTTTTATAAACTATATTATATACTATGGATATTACGTGTTCAAATAGTATATATACTACTCATAGTACATACTGTAGTTTGTAAACAAAAATTTTATAAATATAACCTTGTTATTTATTATATATCGTATCTAATTACCTTTTTAAAGTCGAGGCTTAATCTATGCATTTGGTGGAAATCGAATCCAGGTTTTTTCTCATATATTCAGCCCATGTCGCGAACTAAGCTACACTCATCAGGTGAAAAGTGTGTCTCCATTGTCACAAGAGATAAAGTCATCTCATGTAATCCCAAATTAGGTCATTTTCAGAGTTAGGGCAATGAATTCAGTGTATTTTGATAAAATTTATTTAATAAATAAATAAATAAAATTACCAAAACACCCTTAATTAATTCACTCAATTCTCAAAATAACGTAGTTTGGGATCAACAACTTTTTTTTGGATTACATCCGGGTATCCCACAGTCGATAGCTATAAGACTAATCCCTTGTCCCGGGTCAGCGCACAAAGTGATAAAGAGCTGGCCACAAAATGATTTTCATTCACAAGAGTTGGGGTTCGAACCCCCAACCACTTGCTTAAGGGACGAGATGTTGAACCATCACACCCACCCACGTGGTTTGGGATCAACAACTTTAGTATAGGGAGAAACGATAAACTCTTTGATTATATTTATAATTTATTGATAAAATAATTACTCTATTTATGAGATTGGAAGTTACTTATCTTTTTACTTACTTACTTTTTTTTATTTCAAAAATATAAAAAAATTCCATTTATTATAATTTAATATTAAATATTTCTAACTACGTATACATAAAATAAAAAATACAGATTGGCTGGAACATTAATGCCCGTAAATTTCCAAGTTTCATATAACTATTTCAATAGACACCTAAAAACTAAAAGTTTTTTATAACCAGATATATTAAATTTACATTTTTTTTTATTTTTCTAATAGTTTAAAAATTCAGTTTCGACCAACAAAAGTCGGCATGGTAGATGGCTAGTGCATCTAGAATGTTCTTTGACCCGAAGGTTAAGAACATGATATATGCTCCGAAGAAGATTTGGTGAACATGTATCCATCATGTGTAATGGACTGTTTTATTGTTATATCTTTTTGCAGATGATGTTTAGTCACTAAATGAAACCAAAAAATAAAATAAAAAATTGTATGGACTATTTTGAACTACTTTTGATATACATGCTAAATATAAATGTTGCATTGGATTGTACTATGCTCCTATATCACATATAATGTCTATAAAGTTATAAAATCTCTATTTTCAATTCTGTCCAACTTGGACGACAGTCAGTCGTGTGATATTTCCCCAATGAATAATGTTCATTTGTGCTTAATATTGAAAAACTTGAACATGTGATTATTGTGCTTTAATGTATGTACTTATACTAACATACATGAATACAAAAGTATAAAAGGTACCAACCTGTAACACCCGTTCTAGAATCGGCTTGTTAACATTACGAACGGCATTAAGCGCAGTTACAATCACAACAATTGAATTAAAGTAAGGATAAACTTTTTCCTTTTTATTTATAAACGTTTTTGTTTAAAATCAATTCCGTAAATAAAACATTTCCCATAATATGATTACAACTTAAACTATATGTGGAACACCTATTATAAGTTTTATTTAGATCATATGTTGCTACCATAGTATGCCAAGGAGTCCCTTAGACCACCAAAGCTTAAAAACTCATTTTTATTGTTATTCAACACTAAGCACCTCTACTTTTTAGTTACCTAAGAAATTTTATACTACTTATATGGTCCTTATCATCCAATATGTTATATATCTCTTTGTTATCTACGTGTGGGTTCAAATCGCGCTCAATTCGGAGCACCGTAGCTCAAGTTATGAATTTTCTAAAAAACAAGTGATGAACCCACTGGGCCCGACGCGAATAGCGCCAAACCGGCGCGAATAACGCAACGAAACAGAGGGTTGCCAGGTTGATGGCGTGAACAGTGCCAAGATGGCGCGATTAGCACTGGGAATACATTTTTCCAATGTATCTTGGCGCTAATAGCGCCACCACGACGCTAATAGCGTCAAAGTTTTGGAGATTACACATATCCTCAGTATTTTATCCCTAACTGGAGTTATACTTATCTGATTGACGCAATCTTGGTCTCGTTGGAAAGCTAAGAAAAAGATCTACAACTTCCATCAAGACACAATGGTACGAATCTATCATATAGGATATGAAAAATGGGAAACAAGACATGAGATCTTTATTTTTACATGGATTTTCAACCTAAAGGTCTTGTTTCACCTAATTGACATCATACAACCACTTCAATACATGATTCTTAGTTTTTTCAAGGTACACATTTATCAAAAGAAGCATCCATGCCCTTCCATCATATATATACAATAAGCACAATATTACACAATCTTTAAACGTCTTCAAAACATAACCATGAGACTTAGCTACAAAATACTATGATCAATTCCTTGGCTCCCATCAACAAAAGAGATACCAAAGGAGGTGAGCATAGGCTAAGTCCACCTAAATAAAGTATGACATACATATAACAAATAGCTTTCAATTACAACTCCTATGTAAAATTATAAGTCCTATACATAGGAACTACTAATGACATGCATAACCAAAATAGTGCAATATCCTCATGTATCAATCTAGTCCAAGTATGGCCACTTGCCACCAGAGGCTCCTGCAGCATCTATACCTTAAAGGGGGTCCCCACAACACGGTGTGAGATATGCAAATACATCTCTGTAAACCATGGGACCTTGGAGCATTTCTCCACCCCATATTTCACTCACAGTATAATAGCAATAATCAGTAAATAATGCAGTAAATACATATCCATGCAGTGTGTAAAGACATCTTCAGGAGACATCCCTCAAGCTCTCATGCAGTCCTAAGGATACTCAGATGCAAAATAGTCCTACTGGCCAGCTAAACTACCAAGTATGAATTACGCATCGTCATGCAACATACAAAACATAGGGAAACACCATCCTATGCCACACAAAATGCATACACATACGTATAACAAAGCATTAAACTATCTTATTGCGTATACAACACTATCAATAACCACTACCCATTCCGGGCTTGGTGGAACAATAAATGGATCAATTTCCAAGGTACGAAGGCTTACCTCAATTGCTTCCAATCTCAACCTTTGTTCTTCACCAACTCAAGCAACCAAGCTTTACAACAATACCAACAATCAATACCTACATCAAGGTACTTGACAATCTATCAAGGCAATCCAGTGAATACCAATATTGTCATCAACCAACCAAACATATTCACACCACAATGGCATGTACTTACCAATTCAAGTGAGCTAATCAAGCTCCATTGCTTCCTCCAGTGGTTGGTCCTTCAATGTTGGTCCACAAGGCTCAATCCTAGCCATCACATGGACACAATTCACATCCAACCAAACCATTGTTAACCAATGCAAGAAAATCCACAAACCAAGTATATAATCTTGCAATTTTCAAAGCATAATCAAATGATTATCTAAGTTCATTTCTACCGTTTATTTATCATTTCTAACAACTTTTACAAAGGATTTAAGCTTAAATCAAACTCAAACTCATGCAATCCAAAAACATTATTCATCATCTTCCTCAATCTTACAATCTCCATGAAAACTAAGTTTAAGGA